ATTTGGCTTCGAGGAATTGGATGTGCTCAGGGAGACTGGTTGACCGAAGCCACCGACAAAGTCACCCATCTCATCTTGGGAGGGGGCGATTGTATCGACAGAAGCAAAGTCGCCAAACTCGTCGTCGAATGAGTCGACGGGGAGGGTGGGGGGAGCTGATGCACGTGAAGAAGCGTAGAGGCCCTTTGACCTGGACTCGAGTTCATTGAGGGCACCGGACAAGTCGTGCTTTTCTACGCCCAAACGTATCCATCGATCTTTCCATACTCGCTCATCCTTGGATAACTCAGCTGTAGCGCGCGAGCACAGGCTGTACGCGGGGATATCGGGGATGGGCAAGTGGGTGAGGACAAGGATATGCAGATCTGCGGGGAGTTTGCCTATGAGTCTGACATTAGAGACGGTCTTCGCGGATGATCTAGAGGCCGAGGGAGAGTATAGTTTGACGGGCTCGAGAGTTTTGAACTTGTCCATCGTCGAGGAGGGATGCCTGGCTGCGTAGTCACCACCTCGGAGGCAATGAAGCTACGTAGCAGTCCAGAAGGGGCTGGGCCACACGGGTGATGGCGCCACCTGCTGTGTTTGGTGTTCCACGTCGTTGACGTGATTTTCTATCAACTGCCGCCTGTTTACGACGCTCACGACGCACACGACCCCACTGTTCCCCATGTCTCTGCCCGCAAATGATGCCTTTTCTCTCGGCTTTGGTCACGATTCAATACGCCGATCTCGCGGTTCAACGCGCTCGCCGTCGCCCAAATTGCCATTCACCCCCTCGCGATCGCCCTCACTGTCTCGCTCAAGGAGTGCCGACTTGACAAGTCCTGCAAATACCCGTCCTCGCAGGACTTCAAGACGCATCAATAGCCACACCTCCACTCACTCGTCCAAATTAGCAGACGTTCGCGAGGTTGACGACCACACACTCCAAAAACTTGCCCAAAATGGCGTTCACACGACTGCGCGAAGAGAGAAACAGGCTACAAAGATTGATTGGGAAATCCCTCGAAAAGCCTTGCATTCGTCCATTGGTGAGCATCAATTCTGCCCTACGGGGCGCTAGTCCTGCCGGTCTGCCCGACTGACGCTTCTGTGACTCGAGGCTTCTTGACCCTACACCTGTACATCTCCAACTCCACCACCAAATATGTCCTCCTCGGTCTCTACGTCGGCCTCGCCGTCATTGTCCCAGCCGACATCTTACGTCTAAACTTCCCTGCATTTGCCCGTCTTTACGAGCGATTCCTCGGTTTCCTCATGCGTGAAAGTGAAAAGGTCTGTTCTTGCTTATCTGCAGCGGTCCCGAGCGCTCAATTGGTTTTGGGACCCAGAAATCGACGAATGGCACAATCTGGTACATCATTGGCGTCTTGTTCGTCCTGACCGCCTTTCCGCTTGATATCGCTGTTGTATCTATCCTCATGTGAGCTTTCCATGTCTTTTACCTTAACATACATCAGCTCATTGGCTCTTTTCCAGTCTCTCTTGGGCTGATACTGCCGCCTCGACGATCGGCCGAGCTTGGGGCCGATATACACCTCCTCTTCCTAACCATATCTTGGGTATCCCCTTTGCCCGTCGGAAATCCCTCGCAGGGTTCCTGGCCGCAACAGTCACAGGTGCATGCATCGCCGCTGGCTTCTGGACCTGGATTGCTCCTATGCGAGAGTCTGGAGCCAGCTGGTCTTGGGATGAAGGTGTTATCGTCGAGAATACTCAGTACAACTGGCTCCCAGAACCCGTCAAGGATTACTTACGACAGTTGGACGTTTTCCCAATCAATACTTCAGGATGGTTAGGAATTGGGATGATTAGTACCGTTGCTGGGGTGGTCAGTGGCGTTGCAGAGGCGCTCGGTAAGTATTCTCTCTTCGACCCCCTTCTATCCCTGGCTGACCCATCGGCCAGATGTCGGCTCTCTCGACGACAACCTGACACTGCCCATCATATCCGGAAGTTGCATCTGGGGCTTTTTCAAGCTCCTCGGATTGTTCTCATCTTAATCTGCTACATTCCTGCATACGACGACCCTTCATACGACCCTTCATCTCCCGCTTCATTTAGCCGTCCTCCCCAATTGGATTTTCTCGTAATTACCTGTTTCTGCATGTTCTTGTTCCCCATACAGCATACCTTAACCTTTCGTAGAGTAGTCTGTACGTACCCTTGTTTCTCCAGTTCACCCCCTTCGCTCACTGTAATCTTCCAAACAACGGGGCCGCTGGGTGCATCTTTTGTAGTAGCACTAATGGATGGAATGCAATCACTGATAGGATCGAATGAGAGTAGCACATTATGGTCTGTCTAATCCTACTGCCCGTAGCCTTGATTATGGCCTGGCGGATTATTGGGCGCATATTGGGGTGCCCTTGTGTCTGCCACATGTCCAATCTCGACACCGGCACCATATGCGAGAACCATATCCTGATAAGACATTGGTGCCAGGACCGCCGGCCCATCCCCGCTAAATACTGGGGGAAACCCTTGCAAAGGGGAGCCGTATATCATACCGTTTCCTGGTAGGTTGACATCTGCGCCATCGTGGGTTGGTATTGGCACAGAAAAGCTAGATCTGGAGGCATTACTCGCCAGAACATTGCGATAGGAATTGGAGGACGAAGAATGAGTAGACCAGAACGAGTCATAGGTCAAGGAGGAGTTCCCAAAATTGGGTGCTGAGACTGATGCTGTGGAGACGGTGGCTGATGGACGTGACGATGAGGTTGGAGTTGGTGAGGGATTGATAGGTGTTCGCGACTTGGGAGGGGGTGGGATGCTCGAGGTAGATGGAAGGGGAGGGTGAGGATATGAAGGCAGCGGGGTACGAAGAGGCACAGCTGGTGGGGGTGTCGACCGCTGCTGGGAATCAGGGTGGGATAGACGCTCGTGGCCATGACGAGTCGAGAGGGGATGCGAGGCGTCAGAATCAATCTGACCTTCCACTACTAAAGCCACGGCTCGCCGCGACTCTCCACTGAGCTCCCCGTTTGCCTGACCTCTGTCCTGCTGCATAGTGTCACTTGCAGGCGCTATCTCCGTTGGGTGGCGAGTACGAGTCGTGTGCTCTCCGGTGGAAAGGAGCGTCTGGGACGGTGAAGAGACATCAGTAGCCGGTATGGTCCTTGCCTGACTTGCTTGAACGTAGGACTCTTGCCCGACTGACGATCCATGTGATGGGATGGAGGGGCCGCGTGGCTGCCCATCCGACGGGATACTTTGCCTCGTTGCCGACACTACGCCTCCTCTCGGGCCTTCGTAACTCGTGGCTATGATGGGACGCGGTTTATTGATGTGGGAGTGGTGAAAGTAGAGATTCTCGACTTCGTTCAAGTTCTGTCTTTGCTGACGGTAGAGATTGAGACACAATAAACATGGGGAAATGATCAACTAACCCAACCATGTTCAACTTTCAGCTTCGCATATTGAAGTCTCATCTGCAACTGACGTGATAACTGCGGTGAGCCACATGCGATGTCCACATTTGAGAAGTGTCAGCATTGCAACAGTCTGAGTCTATGGCTTGAAGGGACGTACGTGGTTAGCCCTCGCCCTCTCCAGCGTTTGTTTTCGTCGTCTCTGGTCCAAGTCATTGGATGGCAATGCAAGAGTGCTCATCGAGAGACTGGATGGTTGTGCCGCCCTGCCAAAATGGCACAAGCCGATAGGCATGACAGCGGTCCGGATGGTTCCTTTCCCACGATCAACAACTTGGAAGGCGAGCTTGTCCTAACTCCTCTCACCGCCAACTTGACGGTGAACACTCTTCTTGCAATTTTACCCCTTCATTAGAACTAGTGATATACAGTCTTATATGGGCCTGGAGAGCTTGCTGTGTGAAACAAATCCTGACTACTTACTTTCTCCCTTTAATACTGTACATTTTTGACCAACCCGGTGGGGGTTGTGACCTATGACCTCTTGGACACAAAGCGGTGAGGCAGCGGAGGGGCTTGGGACATGTGACTGACAACCAAACTTATGGTGGCAGGAGTGGTATGTGTGGTCGCTTTATGACACTTTTGGAGCTAGAATAAACATAATTGAGCCCCATAGGGCTGAAAAAACTTGAAAACCTGGCTGTGGAAAGGTCTGTCACACCTGGTGGAGGTCCCAGTGACCTGTGACCTGTGACCTGTGACCTGCCAGGTTGGTTGAAAATGTACAGTAAGCCCAGTTTGCCATCACAGCCATTAGATTGACATAACAGACTTTCTTTCTTTTTCCAATGGACAGCTTCTCATCATGGTTAGAATTCATTTGTTGGTTGACATCTGCTGGTTCCTTTCTGTTTCCTTTCTATCTCCCTCTCTCTTTCATGTTGTTTTCTGGAGCTACCTACCTATGTGGGATGTCTCTGTATACCTACCCCATCTGTTTGCCCACAAGCTCACCAAGTCAAGTATATACAGTCAACCTTGTTTTGTTATTCTGATCATGTGCCCACTCTCAATGTCAGTTTCAACATTGTAACTGTAACTTGGCAACACCTTGTTTTGTTGTTTGTTAGAGACTTGTCAGCTGCACAGGTGTTAGAAATGCTGGTTGTTTCTGAACCAGTGTTATATGATAAATTCTCAAGCTTCAGACACTGCTAGTAACTGCTGCAGCACTGCCTGTGTTTCCTATTTCCATTGAGAGATGATGTATATTGAGTGGTCTGAGAGATTCTGTCTTCTGGGTAAACATATCCATGTAGAAATGATAGCATATACTGTACAACATGATAGAGGGCTGGATACTTGGTTGATACAGCTTAGGTAGAATTTTATCTTTAAATTACACCAGTTGGGCATGCAATCATGCAATCATGCTAAAGACCCACATATGTGTTCATTAAGAAGTGAGTGGTCTGAGATGTTCTAACTTCTGGGTAAATGTGTGTATAGAAATGATAATATCTACTGTATAGTACATTATATTGGGTTGAGTTGCAATTCCAAGGTTGTAACACAAAAAAAGAATAAGCTATGTCAAAAGCAAGCTGACAAAACAAAAACATATGATGAGAGTGGGATTCGAACCCACGCCCCCGAAGAGACCAGATATCATACAGTTGTAACAACCTTAGTCTGGCGCCTTGGACCGCTCGGCCATCTCACCGTGTAGTCTAGTAGTCAATGAGTAGCTATTACAGCTCAAGGAACTTGGATAAATATTGTGACTTGTGGCAAAATCAAGCTTGCTTTCAATGCTGTTTATCTGTTGATTGATACTCCTTTCAGACCGGTTCTTCTCTTGACTATTCACAACAAAAAGACCCAAAAGTTATACTACTCATTCGACGCCAGCAGGACTCGAACCTGCGCTCCCAAAGGGAAACAGATAGTTAATTCTAATCTGTCGCCGTAACCACTTGGCTATAGCGCCTTGTACTTTTGAGAAATAATAATATACATATAAAATCGCTGGCTGTCATGTAAACTGAATCTAACCTCACTTTTATCAGTGGTCTCCATATGACTAGAAATGAGAGAATAGAGGGGAGAAAACTTGGGACAGACCAATATGTCCAATAGGAACATACCCAGCAAATGGAGTATAAGGGAAACTCAACTTGACACAGTGATAGTGAAGGAGTTCCAAGAGGAGGAAGCACTATAGCAAGTGTCAAAAACAGTGGAATCAGATGGGACTAGTTGGAAATCAGAGGACACAAAATAATGAAACTAACTGGAAGATGTGTGATGAAATCTGACAAAAATGACAAAAAATGAAGAAATCTATTATCTGAGTTGAAATGAACTAAAACCAAGATGTTGGGATGGGAACAAGAGGGAAAAGAGGGTTGGGGTGGGATTGAATCAGAAATAATTGAAAGAAAGCATTACAGTAGAACATAAAGGTCAGAAAAGGTCAACACAAGTCAAAAGTGAGAAAAGTTGAAAACTACAAATGGTGTCTAAATATTTACCCAGTGTGAGATATCAGATTCATGAAAGAAAAAACTGGTGTGACTCACTTGCATTAGACATGCAATTCCATATTATTTGGACCAAGCACAAGAACTGACACAGAGATTTGTGAAATCTCTAATTGCAATGCCTATTGAGTTTTGCCTGGAAAGGCCAGGCCCTATCTCTATTGCCTTGACCACAGGAAATGTCAGATAGACATTTATCACAGTACTTGGCTTTGTGGGGGAAGGAGGGGGGCTCCTTTGCACTCGCAAGGTTTCTGAGTTCCTGGGATTTAATGGTTAGTGTTGAGCAATATCCAGAGGAGAGGGTGCATACTTGATAAAAGCCACTTGTCCTTTTTCTGATGCTGTCAAATCATGGGCCAGATCTTCAGCGCCACTGCAACCACAATTCAGGTCATCATTTCTACTCTGCTCATCCCCACAGTCAGCATCCCTCACCACTCCATTCTCATTACCACCTAACATCTGCTCTACATCTTGAACCTTGTCATCTTTGACCATATCCATCTGCCTTATTCAAACCATTCAGCTCATCCAAGTCCAACAGCATTGTCTCAATAGCAGGAATGTCAACACAAGTATCTGGCCCCCCTTGATTGTCAAGTTGATGGTTGATGTCACCATCTGCATTCACTCGCTCCACTATGGCAAAAATGAATAATTTGGCCAGTTCTGCCTTGCGATGCACAAGCTCTGTATTGGAGATATGGTGGGTAACCACAACCTCCATCACTCGCCACTCTCTCCCATGGAGCAGTTGTTCTCTGGCGACCAGTTGCTTAATCTGAGCTTCAGTCCAGGCATACATGCTAGTGCTGGCCACATTGTCTTCATCAGATAGCATAGACAGATCAAACTGCTACAAGTTAGTGATCAAGTACAACCAAGCTCACATGCAACACTTATAATGTAGTTCCTCTAATTATTGAACTTGTGCATGACACACTGATAAAAATCATGGGCTTGCTTTGCCAAGGCTATGAGGATTGGATTGCAAGCACAGATGTCTTCTGTGGATATTGGGGGAGTTTTGAATCCATCAATCTGAGTCATATTTATCAATAATGTTCTGTCCATTGAAATTGAGAGAACTTGCCAAAAACCCACTTGCATTAAATTGTTCATTTCCACAGATGATTCCATCTGAGGACCCAGAATCTCCCCTACAAAATTGAGATCACAATTCCCTTGATCCTAGTAGTCTTCCAACATCTTCAAGTTGGCAGGGTGGCCTAGAGTTATCTGAGTCCTGTCCTGTCCAAGGTGCTGTGACAAGACAGTAACTACATAATGTCTAAATTCATACCCATTGCCTGTAGATACATTCAGCATATCAACTCCATTGATATTTGATTGGTACTAACCACCAAGGCCACATTCCTTGCAGATGTGCTACAAAAACTCTCAATGGTTGACATCACACATCACACCAGATCCAACACCCAACCTGTTAGGAGTGCCTTAGTGACTAGTACTCAGGCTACAATGTTGAAGAGTAGAGGATAATGAGAGATGAGCAAACCAGTTGAAGGATACAACTAAAGCACTGTATTGTTCAAGTGGACAAGCTACTGAATACAGAGTAATTAGGTATCCTTATAAGTATACTTCAGGGAACAATGGAAAGTTGAACAATGTACTAAGGACAATAACAAGTGAGACGATGTACCTAGACAATGTCAAATGAGTTAAGGTTCAGAACAATGACAATGAACAATGGCGAAAGAACAATGAAACAGAGAATAATGACGAGGTTGTACAGGACAAGTCATTGTGCACTAATAATAGTACAAGTCTGA